AAGGCATACTTGATGGTGTGAAGACAGCACTGCAGCACTGCCACTGGCCACTTATGGAGGAAGCCATTGTGATTCAGTCTGGGCTCAGCTTTCCCTTTGCAGACTCCACCTCCCCCAGCACAGAGAAGGAAGTGAGGGTGTGCCAGACAAACAGCAGCCAATGTTTCTCTAACACTGCTGCACAGTGCTGAACACATAAAGAGATTTTTATGCACAGTGCTGCAACATTAAAGAGAACGTATTTATTCTCCAGCATATGAAACATGAAAATATTTAAGGGCATATTGCTGTAAGGTTTTGAATAAAGAAGAACATTATTGAATAGAAGAAGTGGTAGCGAGCCCACACATCTGCTTAACTGATCAGTAAATCATATACTCACAGCAAACATCCAGGAGCAGGATTTCCCTGGAATGCCAATTATAGCACTAAGAAAACAGGCTGATGGAAATGGCCTTTCTGATATTGCTCACTCATTGACTACAGAGAATGTAGTGCATCCATCTAAACTTTAGAACCCAAGCAGGCAGGAGGAGAGTAAAGGGAAAGTCAGGAGAAGAGTAAAGGGAAAGGCCAGCTACCAAAATACCAACGTTGCCTCTAGATGGACAGAGGAGTAACCAAAGCAGGAAACGCCAAGGCCTAGAGGCAGCAGTTTGGGAAGAACAAAGACTCTCAGCAGCATTTAGGAAAATGAACCCATGACTGGCTCAAAGATCCCCATCCCTGAACTGCTCATTATTCCAGGAAGTCTTTTGTTAACATGAAGAACTAAGAGCCTAGAAAACAAGGACTCCAGCCTGAAGGTTAAAAAGAAGAGGGGAGAGGCTGAAAATTATAGACCTGTAAGTCTAGCATCTATATTAGGAAATAAATTTGAGATGATACTCATGGATGAGCTTAATGATACATTTGGAGAAGTACAATTTAATAGGAGTGAGTCAGCATGGATTTACCAAAGGCAATCATGTCAGAAAAAATTCCTTCCTTTTTTATGTTGAAGTAATAATTGGTTTTTGTAAAGGAGAACCAATGAAAAACTGTCAGGGTTTCCAGAGTTTTGGACTTTTTCATAAAATAAATTACTGCACAGGATGTCATGACATGTGTCAGAGCATCAAACTAGCAATGGGTAAGAAAGGAACAGGGTGGAGACAGTGGGCTAGACCCTGGGGAAGGAAGGGCTGCCTCGTGCAAGGCTCTGCAGAGCAGGGCACACAGCTTGACTGCAGGACATCAGCATCTGACTAAGACAAAGGCTGAAGCAAGTGGGCTGGGGAAGAACATCAAATCTAATCTAAGTATAAACTTGAGTAGAATTAAAAAATCAAGTAAGTATAGCTTAAATGGTACTGAATTAGTTATAATTAGAAAGGAAGACAAAAGGACATGGGGTTTTGATAACAGTCAAATTTCCACATCCCTGTATTTATAACTGGCTAAGAGAAAGTGCTATAAAATATAGTTGAATAAAATATGTCATAAAGAATAGAAAAACTAACTTAGAGAAGAATATGAAAATATAGATTTGTAAAGAAAGCACAGTAAATTCACATCATACCACCATGTACAGACAATAATTTAGGATACTATCTAAATGAATATGTCTTACTATGTAGAATTAATGAAATATTAAATATGATGAAAACTATGACATCAGAAAACTAAAAAACCAAACAAAAAAGATTAAGAAAAGCACCCTATCATAACTCATTGTTTAATCTTTCCTGAGAGAGCACACTGGTCTCTCAGGGCCTTCAAGAGTCTAGGCTTCTCAGAGAGGAATGTAGGATACAAGGAAAGGCCAGCCACATTCCCCCGGGCTGTGGTGAGACTCACTGTGAGCAAAGAGTGCTACCTCAGCAGCATGAGGTGCAGCACAGCAAATCCTACAGTTCTGCCACTTGAAGCTTTCTGTCACCTCCAGTGAGTTGTTCCGTCATCATCTCCCTTTGTTTGGGCTAAGTTTACAGCATTCTAAAATGTAATTACTGCAGAGAAAAGGGTCACACTTAAGTTAGTGTGGTTACTGCATTGTCCCCACTGACACATTCAGCTCTGTTTTAAGGTGCAGTGGGTATGTGCCAAGCTTACTCCTGAGGAGGGGAAACAGCTGAAGCTCAACTGTTGAACCTGTGAGATAAAAGTCAAGGGGCTTCTGAGATGAAATGCATGATCAGGAGAGCATGGGATGACTGTTTTCCAACTGAACACAAGTCTGCCCTTTCTGGGGTTAAGAAACACAGTAGGACAAGGACCACTGGGCTTTTGCAGCAACTGATACCTAGAGGGAAAGCACACCCTGAGGCTATGGCAAGAGTTTGATGCTGCCTATTATTATGTGAAATTATTCACAATGGATTTTTTGTATATAGCTTAGCTCATTCAAAGATATGTTTAAAAGATTTATATACCATTGTGGATTGTAGTTTCAACTCATTCATTCATTTTCATTGATGCTGAGTCTTTCTTTCTTTCTTTTTTGATGCTGAGTATTTCTTTATGCTAATATATTAATAATATACATTCTGTGTATAGTTTTGTTTCTGACTAGAGTGACTGTATCAAGTTACATTATATATGGACACTAAGTAAAAGATAGAGTTTGTGTAGAAGACTACCACTGAATACCAGATTTAAAACACACAATCATGTGCTGCATACAGGTTAGCTGGTGGGGCTGAACTATATGAACACAAAATTATGGCAAGCGGCATGGCTATACACAGAAAAAGAACATTTCATTATTACAAGAACATACACAGATATACTCATCATATACGAGCTATGTATATGAGTATGTATGTATGTAAAACATCCTAAATTTCTATGTATCCAGTGATGTATCTTTAAAATATGCAAAAGCCAAAGTTAACAGAATGAAGCCACTGGATGAAAATACACTAATCCACAGTAATAGGAAATGTACATTAAACTTCCCACTAACAGTTGAGAGAAATGGTATTTAAAAAGTAGGTAGGGGTAGAAGGTAACAGCATTTGTCATCCAAGCCTGACAACCTGAGTCAGACCCTTAGAGTCCACATAGATGAGAACCAGTCCTGGAAGCTGTCGCCTGACCTCCATGCATGTGCATGGACTACCCTACCCCACTCTCCCCAACATCACATACACAAGCGTCCTCACTGAGTAATAGAAATAAAGTTAAATTTCAGGAAGTCCAGCAAGCACACAGGCAAGGCAAATAATAGTATGAACAAACTGGATGAGGCTAAGTAGGCAAACCAGGCCCTCATCCCAAGCTAGCCCTCTAACCTCTTCCAGGCTACTACATACATGCATCCACACCTACTGCATGACAGATACAAAGAGAAAACTACGACCAGCCACTCATGAGCCTCACACACATAGGGAAGTTTCGTCAAATCTTTGTCCATGGCCATTGACACATCAAACTCCATCATTAAGTAGTGTCTAGAATCACTAGTACATGGGACATGTGGTCTGTCCCTCTAGTCTAGAACATAAGATGGACACAGAGATGCCATCTATGAGCATGCCTTTCATTAGCATTTGTTTTTTGACAAGCTAAGAGATATTTCACCCCAGATAGAGAGTCCGTCATAAACATACAGCTTGGGTGATAGCAAAGAGACAGATGGGGGGGCGGGTAGCTGGAGAGCTGGAGGAACAGTCACACTGGGTAGGGGCTCTGCTTACTCTCTCCACAAAGCAGTGCACATGATTCTGTGTCAGAACCCAGGTCAGTCCTTCCAGGACCTTAGCTGTAATGCTGTCATGCCAATGAAAAGAGCCCAAGGGCAGAGACAGTGAAAATAGTCTAACCGGACATTATTTGTTTGTGTGAACTCCAGCTGATATATACCCCTGCATACAAAAAAGGTCAAGAAATCAGCCACCCCATCATTACTTCAATATATTGATAATATGAATTATTTTAAGCTGAGAAAATTGAAAGAATACACCAGTATAAGACTTGGCATCATCATACATTGTCAGATGCATTAAAATTATCCTAACTTAAATTATCCACCAAGTTCTCTTTTCTCTGGTGTGGACATTATATGTGCAAAAATACAAACCTTAAAACAGCCCTATGTTTATGGAAAGGCCTACCCTTGGTTTTCACACACACACACACACACACACACACACACACACACACACGCCACAACACACACCCGCACAAACACACACCCACACACAGCCTGTCTTTCCCAGCCCTGCTAGAATCTTGTCTCCAGAGTATCTGAACTAACAGCTGCATTGCATGCAGCATACAATGGCACCTCACAGATGCATACTAACTAATTCCTGGCATGGTAAAGCCAGCCCATCATGAGCCACATGACCAAGTGAGAAGCAGAGGTGACCAGCTGTCAGCTGCAGCAGACCAGGTTACACTAGCTGCATTTGCACATGGAGTGACCAGCCGTCAGCTGCAGTGGACTAGGATACACCAGCTGTATTTGCACATGGAGTGACCAGCCGTCAGCTGCAGTGGACTAGGATACACCAGCTGTATTTGCACATGGAGTGACCAGCCGTCAGCTGCAGTGGACTAGGATACACCAGCTGTATTTGCACATGGAGTGACCAGCCGTCAGCTGCAGTGGACTAGGATACACCAGCTGTATTTGCACATGGAGTGACCAGCCGTCAGCTGCAGTGGACTAGGATACACCAGCTGTATTTGCACATGGAGTGACCAGCCGTCAGCTGCAGTGGACTAGGATACACCAGCTGTATTTGCACATGGAGTGACCAGCCGTCAGCTGCAGTGGACTAGGATACACCAGCTGTATTTGCACATGGAGTGACCAGCCGTCAGCTGCAGTGGACTAGGATACACCAGCTGTATTTGCACATGGAGTGACCAGCCGTCAGCTGCAGTGGACTAGGATAGTTTGCACATGGTGTGACCACTGCCAGCTGCAGTGGACTAGGATACACCAGCTGTATTTGCACATGGAGTGACCAGCCGTCAGCTGCAGTGGACTAGGATACACCAGCTGTATTTGCACATGGTGCTGTTAGGGCCACGGGACAGGACACTTGTCTACACTGTCTCCTTAAACAGAACACTATATCTGCAGCCCAGTGGTTCCTTTTGTGTATAGCAGATTCTATACTCGGACATTTTTCAATTAAATAAAAAGCTGGGCAACAGGAACCAATTTGCTTTACCTAGAGTCGCTGCGATACATGATACCAGGCAGCCATGCCATCACTAGGGTTATCTTCTGCTGACTTTTGGGAAAGGAGGGCCTTGTAACCTCCAAGGTGCTTGAGGTACTTCCTCAGCCACATTCTTCCAACCTCCAGGTTTTTATGGGAAAACAGAGGTACAAAGAATACAGTGTAACATTTTAAATCATAAATCTACTGAAAAAATTAAGCGCTATTATCAATAAAAACAAAGTTCAAAAGAAATTCTAACATCAGTATCTGACTATGTTTTAAATATCTGCTATTAGCTTTGATGTCCTACAATACTTTTGCTCGATTTGCATATGTGATTAAAATACAGGTGAAAGGGCCTATATTTCCACATAGAGTGTGGAAGGAGCAAGATGAACTTCCACACAGGGCCAGACTCCATCAACACTGGATTCATGTAGTCACAGTAATCTACAAACAGCTTTGAAAATACTGTGGTAAATGAAAGGAGAACCTGTTAAACAAACAACAACACAAGCCCTTTAATAGTTTCCATTCCTTACCGGCATGCAAGTATGCGAGGTCAGGGTTCTCAATGTCAGGATGCTGCTCTTTCAAGTGGTTTCGGAATTCCACAGGGACATTTGTCCCATAGTCACATTTTGGGCAGTTGTACATCTTGACACCTTCATGTTTGCCCGTGTGTAGAATGTGTTTGCGGATATTCTCAGCACAGTTTGACCTATCAAGTAAAAAAGTAAATGGAATTAAGTCAAATGCCACAAATGCTGACACTAGCCACTCCTGGCAGAGTTGTTTCTATGTGCTGGGTAGTAATCAATCTGCTAACATCACACAGTTAACAAGCAGGAACCAGCCATATAATGACATAACACAGGTAGCATGTCCAATGGTGGTCTGCCTCAGCAATTCAGTTCTATGTAGAATTAGAGGCATAAAATCCCAGGTCCTATATATTTAATATCAAGTTATTCTGGTACTATATGAGGGCAACGAAGGTCTTGGCTTATGTACCAAGACATCGGCATCATTGCAGATGGGAACAAATGAAGTCACTGAGTTCAGGGCAATGAGGAACCTTGTGTCTTTAGGTTCTGCCAATAAATGCGGCTTCCACTTAGGGTGCTGGGACAGCTTGAAGACAGAAAGGTAGCTACAAACAATCCCTTGTTTTGTCCCGTATTAGGGCAATGTGGTGGTTCCAGAAAGTCTCCCGTGATGGTTGAATTTCAGAGATCAGACTGGATACTACCATCGAGCCAATGAAAACAGGAGTGATAGAAAACAGAATAAGACATGTACTGAAACTTCCTGAAGATGCTGCTGAAGAATGGAAGCCTGCAACCATTCTTAGATGAAAAGAAAGGCTTCATGAACATCTAAGGCTGAGAAATGACGATCAGCAGAGATGCTTATGTCATGCCACACAATAAAAGGTCAGCAATCACCTTGGTGTCTCATGCTCAATTATGTCATGATGCTTACCTTTCATGGAATATATTATCAAGAAGGTCTAGATGGTTATAGCCAACAGCTTTATATTAGACTGCGCTATCATGCACATGTATTCATTTGTAAAGGTAGCAATCAAGGCGGGAAATTGAGACTGAGGGGGGGAGTTCCTTTTCCTCCACTCCCAAGAGAAGCTGGAGAAGTCCCCTTAAGGCATGGACAATGACAAGAGGAACAGGATTGCACAAAGAAGGTAAGGGTGTCTCCTCCTGAGAGGGGAAGGCTGCTGAAAAACAAGTGAATGAAACTCTCACTCGGATCACAGTGACAGCCCTGCCTGAATCTGGAGTATTACTCTGGAAAGCTTCTGCCACCATGGTAAGACAGAGTATGTCATCAAACATGCACTCCTTTTAAATATAGTTAGAATGGTTAATGTGAAAAAACAAGCCCCTCTATGCCGGGGAAAGCTAAAATATTAGAAAGACACACGTCCACATGCTAATACAGCTAATACTGAAATGCCTGATTCTTTTTTCTTTCCAAAAATATTTTAAATTTTACATACTAGGGGAAAAAAAGCTATTAACATCACCATGTGTGCGGTGAGTGATGTGGGATGTCCATCCGTAGGCTGAGAATGTGCTAGTTTTATTGGTTGATGAAAAAAGCTGTTTTGGCCTATGACACAGCAGAATATAGCTCTGCAGGAAATCCAAACAGAGATACAGAAAGAAAGAAGGCAGAGTTGAAGAGACGCCATGTAGCTACTGTAGAAGAAAGATGCCAGAACATTACCAGGAAGCCACAGCCATGTGGTGATACAGAGATGATTTAGAAATGGGTTAACTTAAGAAGAGCTAGCCTATAACAAGCCTGAGCCATAAACCAAATATTATAATTAATATGAAGTCTTTGAGTGGTTATTGGGAACTGGCAGGTGGGACAGGAAACGTCCAAATAGGGGAAAGAACAGGAACTACAGAGATTTTCCCAGCTAATTCTAGCATGCTTTGGGCAAAGGCATGGCCAGATAGGCTATTACATGCCTCTTTGAGCTTAGACAGAGTATGCATATGCTAGTTGATACACAAGTTCATATTTGATTTCTCTTCTATCACACTGATTACTAAATCTATTTTGCACATGAATTCCCAATTGCTAATTAACAATGAAAAGAAGAAAAACACCTCTGTATGCCACAAGGGCCACTGGCTCAGTGAACATGACACCACCACCTGAGCCTGTGAGGTCAGGATTACTAAATCATTGTGATGGCTTAGGATGAAGTGTCTGTCACAGGCTCCCATGCTGAAGTCTGCTCCTCAGCTGACTGCACTGTTTTGGAAGGTGCTGTATGGGTCGCTGGTGGTATGTACTAAGGGGGGGGGGCCTTCCTTGCTCTGTCCCTTCCTGTCCGTCCCCTGCTTCCTAATCACTGTGAGGTGAACATCTATGCTGCATCCTCCCACATTTAAACCTCCAAAACTGTGAGCTGAAAGAAATCTTTCCTCCTGCTAAACGGTTTCTTTCAGTTATTTTACACATAAAATGTTATCACTGACATAAAAATCACTAGTCTGGTGATTTTATGGAAAATCAAATACATAGAGCAAAGAAAAGTTGATTCCTGAAGTAGTGGTTTAGTATAGTGAGTGGCTATGGTTTCTGCTTAGTTGACTCCTAAAGTAGCGGTGTAGTATACTGAGTGGTTATGGCTTCTGCTTGGAAAGCCTGTTTCGATTCAAGTACACTAGAACAGTGCCTTTTGCATGTCAATTTTCTAGCAAAGTACACAGAAAGAAAGGACTGCAGAACTGCAGATGTACAGACACCCATGGACTCAGGCTAAAGGAAGCCCAACAACACAGACAACCCTTCTATGTTAGTAAAAATGAAGAAGATAACAGGGCCAAGGTTCCAGAATGAAGAGGCCATGAACTATTGTTAGTTTTACCCAAGTTAATAATGAACTTATACTGAGTTTATCACTCAAATGTCACTTTGCCTATAAACAAATAAGGCTCATTATCAAAACATCTTTCTTACAGACTGGCTGTACGAAGCCATGACACCATAGACACACAAACATGCAAGATGCCCTCTGATCAATTCCTGCCAAGAACCACAAAGTAAACTCAATGCCTGCAACTCCAGGTTACAATGACTATCAGGTAGCTCCCAGCCCAGGAAAGGCACCAGATACTCATCAGGAGGAAGATGCTCTTGCCACTGTGGAGTGAAGAAGGGAGATTCCTTTACATGGCTCCCAAGGCTGAGGTAATCGCTGACGACTTGCCAGGACAAAAACCCCAAATAATGTTTTGTTAAGAACAATATTCTTTGACGAGTTCTAAAGATTCTTTGAAATTCTCATGCGTGCAGCATACAGTATATTTTCAGCACATTCACCCTGCTCTTGGATCTACCCTCACCACACATATCCCCCTTCTCTTTCCCCCACTTTATATCCTGTAAATCTTTTAATACATTTGCTTAATTTAGTGTGTGTGTGTGTGTGTGTGTGTGTGTGTGTGTGTG